CGATTAGGCTTTTCCCGACGAAGCGGGAGCAGCCTTGCCCTTGCCTTTGTCATTGCGAGCTTGCAGCAACGGGCAGGACGAGGCGAAGTGCCCGCCTTTGGCGCAAAAACTGCACAGCCCAAGGCGACGGCGACGATCCTTCTCCTCTTGTGAGAGCAGACCGCGCCGGATAGCGTCGACTTCCATCGGTACGACACCCGAGGGTGTCGACGACGAAGACGTCGGAGCTGAGGTGCTAGCAGAAGTAGTATAGTTAGTAGTTTGGGTTCGAGTAACATGAGAGGATGAAGAATAAGAAGAGGGAGCCTTAGCCTTAGTACGAGTCTTCTCAACCTCACGTTCGTGGAGGTTGTTGTCGAGCTCGATGGCAAGCTTGACGAATTCTTGGAAGTCGCCACGCTTCGTCCGGTGGGCTTCTTCCGGATACGAGCCAACTCGTCCTTGACAGTGTCCTTGAGACCCTTACGGAAGTAGCGAATCTTGATGTTTTCGCTGAAGTCGACGTCGGCAAGTAATTCGCTGAAGCGGGAGGCGTAGGCGGCAGCGGAGCCAGTCTGCTTGATCTCCTCGATCTTGTTCATAGCAGTGTTGCTGACGTTGGGATCTCCGAAGTGATCGCGGAAATCATCGCAGAAGCTCTCGTAGTCATCGAGGAGGTCGGGGCGTTGAAGCTTGAGCGCACGGTACCAGGACTGGGGATTGCCTTTGCCGAGATAGGTCCGTAGGTAGCCGGTCTTATGGCGATCAGTCGGGAGACGTGAGCCGGACAAGAAAATCGCATTGTCGATCTCGTCGAGGAAGGCGTCGACCTCCGCGGCGTTGCCGGTGAAAGTGCGGGGCTTCTCGAAGTTGGCGGCACCGGAGGAGACAGCGGAGTCACCAGAAGGAATCGCGGAAGTGGCTGACGCTCTGGCAGCTGCTTCGGATGCAGCCTGTGTGGCAGCGGCGGCAGCCTGGGTGGCCTGCTGCGCGGCGGCGGCGGCGTGTTGCGCGGCTTGCCTCGCTTCGCCGAGCGCATCGTGGAGCATCTTTACTTCGTCAGCGAGAGCGTGAATCATACCTGACTGCTCATTTTGTGTCTCGTATAGTCGTTCCAACGCCCGACCTATATCGGTCATGTTCGCAGGGGCGTTGGTTGACTCAGCGGCGACAGGAACGGATCCCGAAGGTTCTCCGCCCCAAGCAGTCTGTTGATCACTTAAAGGGTCCATTCTGATTAGTAGAAGTGGCCTCGAAGGCGTTAAATATTAAAGTTAGATTGAAGTACGATACCGGATTCGTCGAGCGTCGAGCACGACGGTGAGAGAATTCCCAGCAGCGAAGCTTCCAAATAAGGCAAGCGTAGTATTCGAATGAGTGTGAGCGGTCGAATCAAACTGTAACGGTCAAGGCGACCGAAACCGAAGCACAGACGTAGAACGGGAGACGAGTAGACGCTGAGACCGTACTGGCGTTGATTCGACGGGAAAAAGGGGAGAGTACAGGAAGCTACCGGTATAAGTGACCGTTTGACTACTCCTAACTGTCAGATACCGGAAACGGAAGCCGAAAGGTACATGGTAGATACGGTGTCATCCGCGAGGGCCGTCGGCCGAATACATGCTTGCACTGCGTTCTAGAGCCAGAGTCCGTTGTCTATCTAAGAGTGACCGTTAAGATAAACATAAGACAAAATAGGAAATAGTCCGTTGAAACATAGGAAGTGGCTGTGACGGCCTTAACCGTCACACGTTTCTACTCGAGAAAACCCTCCTTACCGTGGAGGTCGGGGATGTATGATAGTAATTCAACTTACAGTATTGACAGCACCAGCGTGTTTAGAGGCATCGTTTGTAAGTCGGTTGATATAGAATGCACATAATGTTGTCGTAGACAGTATCTCACTGCGGGCAGAGACCGATGTCCCGCCGGCGGGCCCGGCATGCCAGGAACATCTCCCGGTTGGGAGAACACTTTCCTAGAATGGTCCTTGCTGGCTAATGACCTGGACATGAAGAATGGCCTATGAGTGAACAAAGAAAGGTCTGCAGGACATTTACTATTAATATGGTCCCCAAAAATAAGGGGACATTTAATTAACATTGTCCTTTCATTCTTCATGTCTGAATCATGTTCCGCTACGGTGCATCGTAGGAAAGTGTTCTCCCACCCGTACCGTGGAAGATGAATGTTTGGTGGTGTGACACCGGTGCTTGCCCGCTGTGTCTGGCGGAAATACACGAAGAGTATTGATAATAAGGAAAACATAGCCATGGCATATGTGTTTTTGATCACTACTACTACAATTTCCCGGTATAAGCCTAGGGGCATCGGGAGCTCTCCATGTGCAAATCAGGTAAGTGTAACTACCCCACGAGATGTTAGAATCACGTTAGTTGGGACGGTCCCGCTGTTCGGAACCTCACGGAGGGCGAGTCCCCTCCTGATTCGTACCTCCCGCTGGGCGAGGCAGAAACGTCGTAGATGTATCTGCGTGCTGGCGAAAGCGATTCACGAGCTCGACTTGATGGAGTACGCAGGATTCACCCAAGGCAAGATCGCGATCTTCCGCGTCGCTACTCCCCGCCACGCAGACGAGCAGGAACAACAACGTGAGCCTTGCACGATGCAACGCCACTCGGCCTGCTAAACTCCTCGCCCTAATACTTCCCCATAAGGACGTAATAGATCGACAATGTACAGTGATCATTAGACTCACAACATAGATTCTGCCTCAATAGACCTGTTGTAGACGGTGGTCACGAGCCTAAGTGATCATGGTCAACTTAAAGCACGTACCTTAGCAACGAGCTTCATGTTCGCGGCAAACCAATGTCATCGCTACAATACTGTAGGAGCCATCAAATACCACATTGACCACAGGAGAGGACCCGGAGGACGAACTAATACATCTGGCTCGGCTCACCCAAATCACATCGTCTCCTACTTGACCTGTGACATCGACGGAAGGCGCAATAGAGACAAGAAGGCATCGATAGTGTGCCACATATCCATCAAGAAAATCGCAACAAATCACATTTCCAAAGCAAGCACGAAGTCTCCATTGGGGAATAAGGAAAGCGCAGATGGCGAACGAGATTCTTGAACCTTGCATCGAGCTCGTCGCTCTGGATGATACCGGACGGCGCATGGATCCCCAGCTCCTCGATCGGGTGCCCCTCTTCGTGGCGCTCCCGCAGGTAGCTTTCCAGAACGCCGAAGACGTCCTCGCACAGCGCGGGTATGTTCTCCGGAGCGCACCAGCTCCGGCGAGTTTCGTGGAAGTACAGTCGGAAACTCTTCAGGCGCGGGAACAACGCAGGGTGCGTCGGGTCAGTCGACCGAGCTGTTGTCGCGAAATGGGGGATGAGGTACCATGCGACCGCCGCGACTATTTCCAGACGTTCGACTTGCTGCAGTGACGTGAACTTCTCCGGGAGCCCGCGGATTTCCCATCCCTTGGGGAGGTCGCGGTGCGGGAACATGTCTTCGTGGACAAGCAGCGTCTGCACGTCTCCGAGGGGCAGGTAGTGATGCCAATATTGAGGATAACACCTACCCGAGTCATGGAAGCAAAAGTGACTCGGTGAAGGGTCGCGGTCATCGCTATCGTTGTGCGCATGAATTTCCGCGAATCTATGCACTATCTGACGGTTGGCTGTGAGGAATCGACTGACTAGATTCATCGCAGACGGCGCTCGGTCAGGAAGTATGTTCTGAAGGTCGCATTTCAGAACGAGAGTGACCGGCTGATCGATGATTAGATGGGATAAGACATGCATGCAGGTGGAGGCAGTGTAACTGCTCATGTAGAATTCCTCGAGATGAGGCAGCCTTGCAACGAGCAACTTGTCCGTCTTGACCGTGAAGTCTCCGACATCATCGCAAGGGATAAGGCCGTCAGAGCACAGTGTGAGCTTTCTTAGCATAGGTGTGTCCTGCAGAATGTCCACCAGCTGTTCGCATTCGGCGAACACCGATGTCAGAGTGAGGGATGTCAGGCTCCCGAAGAAGCCAGGAGTGCGATCATGGGCCAGGGGGTGGAGTGATACGTGACAGAGTTTTGGGAAGTAACCATGCAGGGCATCGATGTCAGAGCAGGCCACCCATTTCATACGATGGATATCCAGGGGTTTCCAAGTACGGGGCTTGCGTGCGAAGTGCGTGCATCGCGTATGATTGGAATTCGATGGTATCAGCACACAGTGTCAGAGAGGATGCTCGTCCGATGTGAGACCACTTGCACTTGATAGCACCTTCATAGATCTTTCGCGAGTGGGGTGATTCCATTCGCCTGGAGAAGTCCGGGGACTGATCATCGTACTCTGAAAGAGCTTGAATGACAATATGAAGGCGCAGGTTATTGCTGTGCTGTATGATAGTCTCGACGAGATCGGGATGACAGCTGTCGGGCTGGCGCCATAAACTCGGATAGCCCAACGCAACGTCCCTCCAGTAGCGGCACACGTGGGTGACAGGGAGCAAAACATCACTGTAGCGATCGTCGAGGACACAGAGAAATATATACCCGAGTATCTCTGGTGGAAAACGGTGCTGTGGACTGTGTGATCCTCGAGGTAAAACAAGTGAAAGCCGATTGGTGTCAGTGGTACTCCCTCTGGCAAAGTCCTCCGATCCCTCGTTAACAATGCTCTTGGGGTTATGAGCAGTGAGCATCTACAGGGAGAATGAGTGAGAAAAAACATTAGATGGGGCCAGCAACTGTGGACGATGGAATACCGTTGAGAGTAATGAACCGTAGCAAAATCACGGCAGGTGCTACTAGTATCGTACGAAAGGAGGTAGTCTCCATAGCTTCAGGAGCACATTGCCTGGAATACCCAAGTGTCTTCGACACTTCGTGCAAGGGACTGAGGCACGGTGTGGATGGACAGACTTGAGGATGTTGTGGCCAGTTGAACTTCAACTTGGTCTCCAGAGCCACGCTTCTTGGTCACGTCACAGCGCACGTGGTCTTCTGATCAAGCGGAAAACACTTGATCGTGAGTGCGTACGCGCTCCAGTTGCTCTGACCATAATGTCGTATGTTTCACATTTCCTACAGATACTAGCTGCTGTACAGCTGCTGCTGGTCCAAGGACGGTACCCAGATAGAATACAAGTTATACGGACTCTAGGACTGCCCTACCAACAAGAGGCTCGAATTCCTGACTAAACTCGTCTTGTGAAAGTAAGAAGGACGGTGCATGGATATGCAGTTCCTCAATCGCATTTCCCTCTTGCTGACGCTCACTCAAGAAGCACGCGAGGGCGTCAACCACGAGGGGGATCCGTGTCGCTGCCCCCTCAATCATATCATCGTGGTCCAGGTAAGACGGCCTGTATGTCACGCGCAAGTGGACTTTCAGACGCTTCACGGATTCAAACAAAGCGGGGTGGTCCCCCTGTCCAGAACGCTTCCTGGTGGCAAGCTGGGGAAGCAAGTATTCGGCGACCTCATCGATGACATCGAGGGCTTCCAGTTGCTTCATGCGCTGGAAATATCTTCGGAGATCCTTTATCGGCGACTTCTTCAATGTACCCTGGTGGACGCGCAGCACCTTGACATGCTCGAGCGGCAAGTTTTCATACCAGACCGAGGGGTGACAAGAGAATTCGTAAGGGATGTGAGGTGTGTAAACGTGAAGGCTGCTTGCTGAAGAGTCATGAGCTCCAGGTGTAAAACCATTCGCTCCGACGAAAGGCCAGAATGCACAGTGGACGTCGTCAATGAAGCTAACTTGCGCGCAGAGAAACTGCACGGTCCTGTTGGCCGTAAGGGAGCGGGTCATCAGGTCAATGGCCTCAAACAGTTGCCCTCCGCGTAAATCGTCAGAGTCGTTGTGGATATGAAGAGCGACGTGTTGGCTGAAGCTTAAGTGAGCGAGGAGGTGAGCGCTGCCGAGAGTAGAGAACGCTCTGATGTACAAGTTTTTCAGGTACGGGAGCCTTGCGACGGAGTCCCCCTCCGCTGTATCCTCTGGTCTCCGCATTCATGCTCATACCACATTGGTCATGCTC